AACTTCCTTCCCTCACTTCAAACTTCCGATCCAGTGGGAGTTGCCAAACAAACGGCCACATGCCTCTGTTTGCCACTACAAGAGGTCCAGCAATCAAGCACAGAAAGTATAAAGTCCACCAACTCAGGGAGTGAGTTCACTTAAGGACACATTCCATATGTCAGACTAAAAAAGGAACATGGATCTGACGAAGGCAGGGCGGTGCTTTTGAATGATCTCTCTGGGGCCAAATGCCGTTTGCACTACAAAAGGTCCAGCAATCAAGCACAGAAAGTATAAAGTCCACCAAGTCAGGGAGTGAGTTCACTTGAGGAAACATTCCATATGTCAGACTAAAAAAGGAACATGGATCTGACGAAGGCAGGCCGGTGCTGTTGAATGATCTCTCTGGGGCCAAATGCCGGTTGCCACTACAAAATGCGGTTTTGGGCGAACACGAAGTAGCCCAGGGAAGCAAATGAGCACAAGGTAGATCACAAAGTGCCCACAGCACCCGGAAACACAACTCGGATGAAGCTGTGGATGATGACCGGGTTGAGGATGTGACGGTAGAAGAGGAAAATGTTTGGGGAGGTTTGGAAACACGTTGCAATAGTAAACCGGGAAGTATGCCACCAAGCCCAGGGCGCCCGCGCCGTAAAACCAAGTACCTCCTAGTGTCAGCCCTATCCCGCACCAAGCAGCAAACTACTTAATGAGGGGGAAGACCGCCGCACTATGGCGCCTGACGTTTTACCGCAGAAGACCTGTCGGGAGGTGGAAAACTTGAGCCAAACGGCCATTCGGCCGTTTTGCCACATGATGAAACAACACGTGAACAAAACACACCCCCCTCATCCGATATCTGGACGAGAGAAAGGATGCGAGACAGTTGAGTTCACGACGAAAGGGACCAACCAAAAATGCCGGTGTCAACTCAGAGGTGAGCCAAACGGCATCACCTGGGCCCCAGTTAAAATCCCGCCACCACCCCGAATTATCGGGGCGACAGGATTATTTGACGAGTGGACCACATGAGTGAACAAAGACATATTGGAGGAACCATACGAAGATTCCTCTCGTGCCGTTCATGAGTTGTCATGGGACGATGCCATGCGGAGGGGGATCCTATCTGGATCACCGCGCCTCACTGCACGCCGTGGAGCGGTTGGAAGAGTAGTCGAGTTGGGAGGAAATTAGAAACGGAAGTTCCGAAATTGGTGTGAAAATATCCGGCTATGGCCGGCCCGGCACTTCTAGTGCGGTCACAGCCTCACACAGGATCGCCAGGGGAACCGTCTCCGGCGCGCACGGCAGCGGTGCGGGAGGGACACGAGCAACGCCGGATCAGCGGTACAGGGCAATGGAGACCATCACCCCCAGCAGCGCCGCATGGGCGAGAGGATGACCGGCGCGGTCGCGTTTTTCGGCGACACACGTACTATCCTCGCCCTTCTAAGGCGGATGCTGATTGCGGTACCCGCCTACCACCCTGAACCAGGTTCTTCCCGGTCCCTGGGCACGTCGTCTCTCCGGCGTCCGCCACGGTCACCTCGATCACCTCCTCCATCCCGACGGCGATCCTCACCACCACCCCTATTGTGGTCACCAGCCGGAGGTCGGCGAGGCGGAGGGGGATCTGATTGGTGACGTCGGTCATCCCTGCGCCGGTCCCGGTGGCGATCGCGACGGTCATCACCCGGGTCATCACGTCCGCGGCGCTCATCTCGCCCCGGACCGCGCCTCTCGGAGGTCTCCTCATGACGTGGAGGAGGTCGGCGATCATCGCGTCGGCCTCCGCGGGTATCCCTGCCACGATCATCCCTTTGTCGGGGCGGGCCAGGATCCTCGCGTCCACCTTTGCCAGGTCGATGTTTTCCTCGACCCTTCCCCTCACCCTTTGGACCGCGACGATCCTCGCGGGCCCCAAGCGCGGTCCTCGACCGATCGTCATCTCGGCGGGGCCGCGACTCATTTGCCGCACGAGTGGTCCGAGGCACACCCGGGGGAAGCTCCCACTCGTCGTTGTCGTCATCGCGCGGGTCATAGCCGCCATGGCCGCCCAAGGAACCGGTGGCATCCCGTGGTGGGGACGCAGGAGTTCCGGGACCGCCTGATCGAAGACGAACTCGGGGAGTCGCGTCCTCGCCGGTAAAAGGATCCTTCTGGGTGTAGAAACCCTTGGTCCTGCCCCTTCTCTCCCCACCTTCCACACCGCTTCTCGCGGGGACCGGGGATGGACGGGCAGGCTGGGCCATGCTCTTAGAGCTGGGTTGTCCGCTAGGCGGGACCTGAACGCCCCCCTGCCCTTTCTCGGGCGCGGGGACCCGACCACGAGATGTCCTCCTGGCCTTGGGTTGGTCGGACTCACCCTCCAGCTCGGACTCGGTGTCAGGGACACGAGTATTGATGGCCATGTCCTCTTCCTCAAACGGATCCCCAGTCGTAGTAACGCCTGCCGCAATGGGAGCGGGAGGAGGAGGAGGAGGAGTTGGCACAGCATCGCCAGAACTGACGCCTGCATGCGGCACCACGGGAGTCTCCGGTTCTACCGGGACAGGCGGCGCAGGAGGAGCCGGGGGCGGTGGCGGAGGGGGAGGGATCTCCTCCTCGTCGTCGCCCATGGGCTCGTCAAGGTCGTCAGGCTTCTCGTCATCTTCGTGCGAAGAACCATCCGATCCCAGCTCATCCTCCGCTGATCCAGCAAAGTCGGGCTCGTCTTCGTCCTTCACGCCGGGGCCTGGTGTAAGGCGAATTCCGGGTCGATGGCGATCGCGGGGTCGGAAGCGGTACTTCCTTGGTACAGGGTCGGACAGCTCCTGTTTGATGTTATCCTGGGTTTGAGGACGATCGGCCAAGCATGTGTCGTAGGCAACGGTGGACGTCCGGTAGATCAGGTCGTCCATACTGCTGAGGTCGTTGAGGGTGTAGACATACCCCTTCTTAATGCCTTCCCGTATCGCGTCCATAGCCCGCTTGAGGCGCGCGGCAGGATCGAATCCGGCCTTTCTCCGCATGGCCTGCAATATCCCGCAGTGCTGTGCGAGCAGCCCCACCTGGAACTTGAATCCCTCCCCGGACACATCGTTGGGGAGTACCGGAGAAAGGTGTCCTGTTCTCAGCCCAATGATATG